CAGAAAATAAAATTTCATTGGTGCCGGCGGGGATCGAACCCGAGTTACTCACGTTCTGTTATATTTACAAACTATAACACATTTTTCGTTTTTTAAAAAAAATCTCCCTAGTTTTTGGGGTAAAATATGGCCTAGATCACTCCTGACAATACCACCTGTTCGTGAAGTTTCATTACAATCCTTTCAGCCACTCCAGGTTAGACAGACATATAATTAAAAAAATGGTTATTCATATTTTAATTGGCATGTAAATAGTCTTCTCAGTTCAATATAAGGCAGTTTATTTAATATTACAAACAGGAACTTGAATTTTATTTAAATTAATAAATAATCGCTCGCGATTACTAACAATAAGCTTACAATAACCTAGTATGTTTCCTGCTTGTTACTTTCGAGTAAAACTATTTAGTGCATCTGTACTTTGATTGTAAATACCGCTGATATAAATACCGCGTTCCTTGCACAGTCAAGGAAGATCGTAATAAAAACAGTGTATACAGTTAGTAAACGAGCACCCTCCGCACCCTGCATACCCTAATTGCATGGCTGGAGACGATTCCCACGCGCGGCTGTACATCAGTCTCCTAGTGAAAATGAATATATGTAATATTTTTTAATATTTTTTTAAATAGTGATAGGAGTGGTGTGAAGCATACCAGATAATAAATATCTCTTTAATTAATAATTTTATTTACATGGTAATTTTAGACCCATTTTTTTAAATTCTTTATATTGTTACAAGCATAGAAATCTAAATAATAAGGCAATATTATTTAGATTTCTGTGGTTACAAGAGTGATGTGCAGCGTGCCAGCTAATAAAAATCGTATTTTCTATGATCACGTAGTAATTTTATTAACATAGTAATTTTAGCCACATATTTATATTTTTAGATCTTCTAGCAAATACTTATATACATTTTCGAGCATTTTCTTGATGAACGATAAACCGTAAGACGATTATGAATAGGAAGCATGTGAATTAGAGCTCGTAATTGGATGCATCCAAGCGGTGCTAGTCAATTACTAGATATGTAGCGAGCTAGCGGTTTTTGATCAGCAAATACTAGCTACGCCCTTCGATTCACATGGCGTATTAATGTTTTGAAGTTGCGGCGATAGAATCGATATAAACATGACGTTTCGATCTTTTGGCGTGACGGCAACTAAACTGTGGCCGCTTCTGGGCGTTGCGTCCATTCAACAACTATGCACCATGTTGCAACACTTACAGTTAGCGGATGCGATCGTTATCTGAGTGTTTTCGAACATCAACTCGAGTACGGAGTTCTTAATACCTATTTATTGCATAATTTTATTATGAGTGTTTAAACTAACGGTAATAAACCACAGCCTCATTTAAACGATGGCTTATTAAAAACCAAATACTATTGAATAAATTGTATAAATATTATACAATTATATATAATAAATTGTATATGTAATTGTATAATATCCATTCATAACTATCACGAGCCTTTATATCACGTTCGACTCAAATTTCATTGTACACGAGAAAGCCAATATGGATATATTGTTAGTTAAAGTTAAAATTACAGCCTATATACATCCCACAGCTGGGCACAGGCCTCCACTCATTTCTGAGGATTTTAGGGCAAGGAAGTGTTCGCCGCAATGCCTCAATGCTTGTTGGGGAACTTCACATGTCTGAAATATAAATTTTTTCTTATTCCTCAGACATGCAAGTTTCCTCGCGATAGAGCGCGTGGTAAATCAGTATTTAAAATTGCAACTAACAATTTAATTTGTACCTGCGGAGATCGAACATGGGTTGTTCGCGCACTGTGGAATTTAAAACGAGCGCTCAGTGCCTGCGTTAACCTTAACAATTTGTAGAGCCGTGGACAATTTGCTAATTACAATATTATAAGCTTATCACGTCCTAGGTGACGAAGGAAAACATCGTGAGGTAACCAATATACCTGAGATATTAAGAACATTACAAGGTCAATTCTATTACATTTTTTTTTATTATTCTCCACGAATGGGTCGGCTCAACCGGGGAAGGACTACTCACAGAATACCAGTGTAAAATATCAGCTCAATGCTGCTGTGTTTTGTATGTGAGTTAGAAAACCGGAAACGAGGTATTCCATTTTAGTCCTCACGGGTGACAACGCATCTGCAATATGTAAATTTTAATAATATTAAATTCGTAATCGAGGATAGATGTAGATGTCTATGGGTCACAGCAGACATTTTCCATCAGGTGGACTGTGTGCTCGTCTGTCACCCGTACCCTATAAAGAAAAGGATTGTTTTTCAGCCCATGAGTCCATCTGGGTATGTACCATGTATTTCTGCCGCCAAAGCTCTTCAATTAAAACAGCAGTTTTAGCTATAGAGAGCGAGTATAATTACCTACAGGCTGTGAACTATTCTTCGGTAGTCTTCTTTGTTAAAAAGCCGTGGTAGATCAGATGGTTAACGTTCTCTGTAAATATAACAGAACGCGAGTAACCCGGGTTCGATCCCCGCCGGCACCAATGAAATTGTTAATTGCAACTTTAAGTGCTGATTTACCACGTGTTCGGCGATGATGGAAAACATCGTGAGGAAACCTGCATGTCTGAGGAATAAGAAAAAAATATTTCTAAGACATATTATGAAGTTCGCCAACACGCATTGAGGTAGCGCGGCGGACACTTCCTTGCCTTAAAACCCCTCAGAACAGGGAGGCCTGTGCCCAGCAGTGTTACGTATATATGATGTAACTTTACTTTAACTTTACTTCCTTGTTATTAGTTGGCTGCAGGTGTCAATGGACTACAAGAGTCACTTACTATTAAGTGACCTTATTTTGGGTTGTCACTTCAGTTTAAAAATATGGCTAATTATAGACTTTTTTATAGGAAAGGGTGACAAACAAGCACACAGTTCACCTGATGGTAAGTGGTTGCTGTGACCTATAGACATCTACATCTATCCTCGATTACGGATCAAAATGCAGATGCGTTGTCACCCGTAAGGACTAAGATGGATGGATGCCTCGTTTCCAGTAAAAGGGGTCACCAATTCTCTACCCTCACTATACGAAACACAGCATTATTAAGCTATTATTATACGCTGATATTCTGTGAGAGCGTGGTCCTTCCCCGGTCGAGCCGACCCATTCGTGCTACAACTATACCACTAAAACTGCAGCATGGCTCTACCACGTAAATCCTGGCTCTTCTTGTTTTTTTTTTGTGTTTATTATGTGGGGGTCCCGTTACTCGCGTTTGTTTATAGCGGCGTCTATCAGCTCGTTAAAAAGATAATAAATATTAAACATAACGTATCGTTCTAACTTACTAGACAATCATTACTATCACTGTCATTCGAAAGATCTTTCAAAACAACATTAATCAAACTTTGAAACGACAGGGCATCCGATTTACCTACCGATAGCTACTTGTTGCGTTTCTAAACAAATTACTGTTTCTTATAGGAAATTAAATCTCATGTCGATTAAATCTCGTCTAACAACCCACTTAACATTGCAAGAATTGAAAAAGTTGAAAATTCCTAAATCAACTTTCCCATTCCGTGCCATCGAAATGTTGTACTATATTATAGAAGCTTATAAAAAATCAAAATAAACATTTGAGTGTTTTATGGATTGTTTTACTTGTCTTTTGTTTTAATAGAATGTTTTTAATTAATTAAGGAGACTTGTTTTAATTTAAAGTTAACACTATTTTAGATTTCAGTATTAAGAACTAAAATCTAAAAACGAAATAGAAAATAAATAAAATTAATAAGGATAATTACAATTTTTTTTTCTTTAAAGGTATTTTAATATGGTAGAGCTAAGCTGCAGCACGAGTGAGTTGACTCGAAGGGTCACGCTATTACAGAATAAAAGCAGCAGTATCGACTTAAAATCGGATAGACTGTGTGTTCTTAATCAATCTCATTCGATAATCCGTATAGTGTCGGTGTTAGAATATCCACTACTCCATATCATCCCGTGGGTGTCGTAAGAGGCGACAGAGGGTAACAAATCAGGAGATGAGCAGCAGCCTTTTCCTGATAACAACTTAAAATAATAAAAAAACTGCTGTTCCCAACCCAAGCCAAGCGTGGCAACTATGGCAAAATTCCTCCATGAGGCAATCTACGAGGGAGGACTATGATCAGCAATGGGTTTTATAGTGTGTAAAAGTTGGATAGATAATTCGATAAAAATGTGTACTTCAGTATATTCATAAAAACGTTGAAGTATTTTTTTTTAATTTATATTATCAAGTATTTGTTAAGTAAGTGTGTGATGTGAAACTCTAAGATGCTCTATAGTACTAGAGGTTAATTTTTGGGTAAATGTAATTTATTACAAGATAAAAACAAGAATTTATGTAAGGAAAAATCAGCAATACAGGGAGTGTTATTGGTTTGCCCTTTTTTAAATTCAAAGCCCATGTAAAAAGCAGTCTTATAAAGGAAGGATATATAGATAGATTAGATGATTATACAGAAGATTAAAATGCTAGTATTAGATATGATGAGTTTCCTTAAAATAGTCTACTTATGAGTTTCTTACCGTTTCTTTTCAAAAAATCTCGCGTAAGACTTGTTAAAGCGATGGCGTATATTTCTTGACTTTCATAAAGCTTTGTTAAGGACAATTTTGAATAAAAGTATATTTTTATGGTTGTAGTATGAATGGGTAGGCTCGACCGGAAAAGGGTCACGTTCTCACATGATGCCACCGTAAAATAGAAGTTCAATATTGCAGTATTTCGTATGATGAGTGTAGAGAACCGTAGACTCCTTTTACTGGATACGAGGCATTCCATCTGAGTTCTCAGGGATAACAAAACATCTGCGTTTTGATTTTTAATCAGGTGAACTGTGTGGTCCTTTGTCATCCTTATTGTACCTTTAAAAAATTACCTTGACTTTTTTGTTAATATAGATAACATTTAATTATTATTTCCCAAGAATATATTCTTTATTTCTCAATTTATTATAAAATATTATATTACTTTAAAAGCTTACCAAGAGAATGTTTATGACGGTGAGCCATCGTAAATACGTTAAAAAGCTTGATTGTGTTGACATTGTTCACGATAAACACAAACTTTTGGGGTAGATTTTTATTGTGTTAGCGCGGAGTTACAGAGTATATCGCGCGATCTTTAGCGCTACACGCCTCGCAATGTCGAGACTGGCAACACAGAACACGACTAACGACGAACTCTAAGCCCGCCAAACTGAAGTAGTAAGCATCGTGAGAGCTTCACGAACGGTCTCTGAATGGCCCACTCTACTCAGAGGGAGAAACGGAGGGAGGGAGCGCCTTGTAGGGGAAACCGCGTCGACCGTCTCTAGTAATTCACTAAGAAAAGTTATTTGCCGATCGCCTCACAGGGATTCATAGTAATAGAAAGCGAAACCGATTTATGTCGTTTTTCTACAGGATTTTCAAAGCTTTTCATTTAATGGCGAAAAAATTGATTTCCGACCCCTCAGCGCATTGTTTTGTTTTACTTTAACTTTCCTGCATTTTATTATTTAGCGTCTAAGTTATCGTTAAGATCAAACGATAACGATTCAAGCGCAAATTCTTGTTAATATAAACATGCAAGCACGCAGCAATGTAATAAGTCTGATGAACCTAGGTTATAATAATGACGTCTACGTTTACACTAACAATGTAAACTATATTATGTTTATTGTACAGTTAGGCTGCAGATATATGGTTATAGCAAGATTGGATCGACTAGACCGGGGAAGAAACCCACCCTCACAGAATACCAGCGAGAAATAGCAGCTTAATGCTACTGTGCATCGTATAAGAGTAGAGAACCGGAGACCCTTTTTTACTGGAAACGAGGCATTCCATTTTAGTCCTTAGGAGTGACACATACACATTTCGCTTCTTAATCGAGGATAGATGTAGATGTCTATGGGCCACAGCATACAATTACCATCAGGACTGTGTTTTTTTTATCTCGAAAAATTACAATTTTTATGTAGAGCCTTTTTAACTTGAGCCTCATGGTCTGACTTTGTTCAGAAATTTTGTCCTAGTAAATAAAATGTATATACCTACCTATTCTTCTTCTATAGAACCGAGACTTGGTCCTTTTTTGATATAAAGCTTTTAAAGTCGGTCATTGAGCTGTGGAGAGGGCTGTGCTCGGAGTTTCTCTGCGTGATAGAATACGTAAAGTATTATGTGCATAATATATCAGAATAACCCTTATAGCGAATGGACCAGTAGCCCAAAGTATGAAACTCATGACTTATTAGATTTGCCTATTCCCGCTACACTGGTCAGGCAGTTAAGCAGTCGGTGTAAGTTTATTAGTATACATGTGTACATAAATGACACGTTTTTATTGTGATGCATAAAATTTTGTATTACGTGGTCTTTGACAACTGATCACGGGGTTTTTTTTACACACAACATACACAGGGTTATTTTTCAAAGGGTAGCTAAATTTTAAACTTAAGTTCAAATATATAAATAATATCGTTATTGCAGTTTTTGAAAATACGAGTAAATGGGGCTTCTACTTTTGTTTGAAATTATCCTAAATTGAATGTGATTTATGGGCTATAAATTTTTGGCCTACTGATCGACCCTGCGCACGCACATCGCGCATATGAATGTGAATATCAGTTAAAATAATGCATTACCACGCATTTTGAATTTAAAAGATAAGAAGGACAGATTGTATGAGTTTTTTTATTAATTTTTCTTTACCTTTTGCCTGTATTACTTATTATTATAAAATAACCCTATATACTGGATGACCTTTTTTACCGTCTGGAAAAAATAGAGTGTAACATGTGAACGAAGTACAAGCCTAATTTTACAAAAAAATTAAAACAAAAATTTTGAAATAAATAAAAAAATAATTTAAAATCTATCGAAATTCAAATATAATCGCGGTCTGCTTTCTCTTTAGTCGCTATATTACAACTACCAATAAATCGATTATGAACGTATTACCCGTTTTCCTCTCTGCTCTCTCAAGATAAATTATCATTCATTGATAATCAAAAGTCTACTGCTAAATGTAGAGGGAATATTTTTCATAGTTCCCTCCCTTTCTTAGCAAGTGGTTTAGGAACCGCGCATTTATTGCAGCCCAAAGTGGGGTGTTCAATGTGGCTGTTTTGAAAGCGTCTACTTCTGCTTCACCGGACTGGAACCTTTTACCACGTAGGTTTTTATTAATTTTAGGAAATGTAAAGAAATCGTTAGGGCTTAGGTCAGGACGAAGGTTAGGAAGTGACGATGGTCAAGAATTTCTACGTTTTCCTGTTTCAAATACTCAATTGTTTGACCAGCGCTGTGTGAGCTTGCGTTGTCATGGTGTAGGACGATCCGTCGCTTTGTGTTAGTTTTCCGAAGTACGGCGATGACTAAACGTAAACTAACAAGTAAACAAACTATGGTATACTACTCTGCATTAATCGTTTTACATTATTCAAGTGCAATCGTCACAATATAGCCAATTTTCGCAATGAACGTGGCCACCATTTTGTTTGAAGTGCTTCGAGAGCGAACAACATTAGTCGGCTTGGGCTCGTCTCGGAACACCCAGATTGCGGATTGTTGTTTAAAATCGGGATCGTAGGCAGATCCAAAATTCGTCACCACTGATGATGTCGTCGACGTCATTTGACTTTTCTCGGTTGAACTTTTGAAGAATTTTATTACACCATCTGACGTGGGTCTCTGTGTGATCATCTGAAAGCAAATACGGGATCCATCGGAAAACTAGCATTCCCACACCAAGTGCTTTATACAAGATCTTCCGAATGGCTGTTTTTGAGATGTCTAAAAAAGCCCATATCTCGCGATATGTCACATGACGATCTTCAAGAATTAGTTTTCTCACAGCAACGATGCTGTCTTCAGTGAAGGTGATTTTGAACGTCCTTCACGAGATTTGTCACTAGGATTGGTATTTCCAAGCTGTAATTCTAAATACCAACGCTTGACAGCCCTCAGAAATGGGGCTTTTTATTTATTTATTTGATTATTTTGCATAATGTGTATGTTTTACAGTTGTTATAAAAAATATAGTACAACACATTAACCATTTCTGGTGTACAAAATGATGTAATGAAATGAATGAAAACAAAACACATTTACTAGTATTTGCACTATCACATCATTAATATTTATATTTTCATGTCACATTATATATTAAGCATTAAAATATTCTTATTAAAAATAAGTAGGTAAGTAGAGCCGCGCTACGGCAATATTATGGTTGTAGCACGAATAGGTCGGCTCCACCGGGGAAGGACCACGCTCTCACAGAATACCAGCGTCAAATAGCAGCTTAATGCTGCTGTGTTTCGTATGGTGAGTGCAGAGAACCGGAGACCCGTTTTACTGGAATCGAGGCATTCTATCTTAGTCCTCAGGGCTGACAAAGCATCTGCATTTTGATCCTTAATCGAGGTTAAATGTGGATGTCAATGAGCCACAGCATCCACTTACTATCAGGTGGACTGTGTGCTCGTTTGTCACCCTTATTCTATAAAAAAAACTTCATTGTTCGAATATATATATTTTATTTATATTTTTTGACATATAATAAAGTAATAAAATAAATAAACGTACAGAGTAACACGTACGAACAAAGTAAACACGAGTATATCGATGTCGATTGTTGCTAATATTGCGGACGAAATCGTTACAGATTAAAGACGTCATGTCTTGCAAAGTAACGTCACATATTATAATACTACTTTATTTTAGAAGAGGTAAACGAGCATACGACTCACCTGATGGTAAGTGACTACCGCTGCCCATGAACAACTGCCAGGGGAATTGCATTGCGTTGCCGGCATTGTAGAAAGGAGTAAGCTCTTTTCTAGAACGTCCCTAAGTCGTATCGGTCCAGAAAAGTAATTCCACAGAGAAGTTATACAAGGAAAAAACTCCTAGTAAAACGGCTAGTGGTGGACCGTCAAGGATCCAGATGATGAGAATGGTATCGGGAATTTTGACGCGATGTGCATTCGTGAATTTTGGCGGCTGGAACTAATACGAACAATTCCTCAGAACACTCCCCATGCTAGATACGACAGAAAACTCAAAGGGATGCAACATCCCTACGCAGCGCCATTGAATCGAGCCGATCAGAAAGAACTCGGTCGTCGACGGTTCGAATCGCTCTGCGCTGGATGCGGTCAAGTGGAAGTAGCTGGCACAGTGATGAAAGCGCAAGTTCGGCCTCACATGAGAACAGTATTTCATGTGAGGTCGAACTTGCGCTTTGTAAAGTTGTAAGCGATGTGCCGGCATGAAATGCGAGGCAGTTCTCGCTCTGCTGAGCACGCCAAGCTTTTTAGAGGCCAATTTAGCCTTCACCTCTAATTGACCACGAAACTGCACTATTCGACATGTCGACGCCGACGATTCCGATGCTAGCTGAGGCAGCAAAGGGAGTGCTTTTAAACTGAGGAGATGCAACAAAGGCGATCTCTTTAGCGGTTAACACGCAAACTTGTGTCTTTTGGGGATTGAATTAGACTAGATTTAGTCGCCCCCGATCCGATACTTTGTTTAGCAAAGACTCGACTTCAGACACAAATTTGTCTCGGTACTCGGCGACGATTTCCCGAGAAATATTGGCACGGCCGGTGTAAAATGTATCACCAGTACTGTCGTCTGCATAGCAATGAATGTTAATAATACCAGTTAACAACATATCATTGCATATGCAGAAGAAACAGCGTTGGTGTTAGCACGCAGCCTTGTGGAACACCAGCGCAGCGTTAATAGGATTGTAATCAGAGCATGCATCGTCTACTACGACCTTGATGCTCTGATTAGCAGGAAAACTAGTGATACAATCGCACAATTTCTCGGGAAGCCCATAGGAAGCTTCGAAAAAAGCATTTTGGCAGCCTCTCATGTCAGAGGTATCTCGTTTAAAGCAGGGGCGGCATCAAAGGTGTAAGTAGTCCAAATATGAGTGTTTGAGAGATGAGTACATATTTGTGCCATTTGCTGCAGGTCTTGAGGTTCACGTGCGGTGAAGTTCCAAAAAAACTATCTGTGACTAAACTTCGCTGCTGATGTTGTT